ATGAATCCACACACCTACCACACGATTCCATACCCCTTCCACACGATTCCATACCCCTTCCACACCCCTTCCACACGATTCCACACCCATTCCACATGTGAGGGAGTGTGAGGTTTTTTTATAAGGGTCATCAAAGGAATATCACGGTTCGTAAAACTTACAGTCCACGACATCAACCGGGGTCTGAAAAAACTTCAAAAAAAGAGAAGTTGCCAAGCCCTTCTCAGACTTAGAAAAGATGCTCTATGATGTTTTTTTTGGTGGGCGCAATTCATTGACATTCTATTTGGGGTTCCTAATTTTCCTCAAAGTTGAGCTAGTGCGAAAATGTTTCATAGATGTCGCATTGCATCTCCCCGCCTCTCAGCCTTATTCGCTTCTTGCATTGTCAGAGTCCGTGCGTGATAGACATTTCGGGCTATGGGAGAGCAGGGAAACCATGACACGACGTACGTCGGTAGACTATAGCCTAAGGGCATGGCCCACTTCCCCTTCCACCTAACCGGGCTCCATTTCATATTCGTCACAGGGTCGAACATATTTCGTAGCCTCGATTGAAGCTTGCCAGTCTAACAGAAAGGCAACGATTTCACTAATTTGCCAAGTTTTTATTCACTGGAAATGCCCAGCCTTCCGACATCCACGTGGGGCAGTGAATCGAAAAGCCGACTCGGAGGCATTGGGGGTGGGTATGACATAAGCGCAAAAGTCTAAGCATAGCGTGTTGCAATTATTCGTTACCAATGTTCATTTAAGAAAATTAGGCAAGAAATCTTGGAATGAGGCACGATTTTCCCTTTGACGCAACCATTCGAGGTGCACCAAGGCGTGTGAACGAAACGCGGATGATAAGAAGGGCGGGGGAGGTCGGGAATGACATAACATGCAAAGACCTGCCCTAAGGCCATAAGCATCCTGGGGTATGGGTGGCCGAGTAGGAGACGTGGATGAAAAATAAAGTTAGGTAGAGGGTTGGATGAACTTGATCTGAGGCATCCACCAAGACTGACTAATAGGGAATGAGAAGGGATCGAGCCTCATTAACAATGCTGAAAACTCCAATGCTCGGGACGCGTTCGCAACCTGGTTTTAGAGAATATAGCTACACAGTTATAATGGGCTCTATGGCACTAAATTATTTTTCCCGATTTTGCATGAAAACGCGCCCAATATAAGACGAACCACTTCGTGCATTGGCTCATATTCAAATTCTCTTTGTGATGCTTTAGTGGTTTTGAGTTCGATCTTGCCGTTTTTGAGATACAGATATGAAGTACTGACTATTACTTCAAAGTGTACTTGGTACCACATTCATTGGAAGGAGCTCTAAAGTGTAATTCATTGATATTCTACTTATAAGGTTGAGTGGGAGTACTTTTGAACGCTTAGATTTTCAGACAGGAAATTAAAAGTAGACCCCCCTGATTAGGGGGCTTATTTACGCTCTAGAATCCCTCACGAGAAGAATAAAGAGGAAAAGAGTAGCCAAAACGGAAGTTCGATTCCAACTACTCCTGTTTATTTATTTTTTTGTAATATTTTTGTCTGTTAGGGAGATGTAGAGGAACCGACCCTGGTTGGTATCGCGAACTGTTAGTTTCTTTTCATTTGATATGGAAGGAACCCCCAATGTAAGCTGTTTTCCCTGGAGACGAGACCCACCGCTACAATCTGTCAACTGGGAGGCAATGCATCCATTGTTCAGGCAAATCCAGCTGGAATGTCCTCTACCATTTATTATGATGGTAAGCATCTCAAGCAAAATTATTCCGCTGTTAATGCGGATGAATGAATTCCTTCTATTTCAGTCCCAATTTTCATGGCTCAAATCGTCGAAAATAACCTGTAATGAATATTTGAATAGCCGTCTGTCAATCATTGCCAAATGCAGATTTCCCAAAGTTGAGTGTAAAGATTCTGGAAAGGGATTTCCGAGGCCCCTGTCCACGAAATGTACGTCGATGAGTTTAAGCAATGACATTGCAGCTGTCTCAGCGGCGATAGGATGAATTTAGATCGACCGTTTCCCTAAAATACTCTCATTTTTCCTTGCAGACGCACTCGTCCCAAAAGACTACGCCTTCGCCATGATCACCGATCAGATCCACTTCATCAAGTTCCCCAATGTGATGCAGGACTACATCACGGGGCAAACGACTTGCGGGGCGGACGGCATGGGGCGACTGATCATGGATGACAAAGGTCAACCGTGGCACGACTGGATCTGGCAGTACGTCGCTCCGAATGTGGGTGTGAGTGAGGGAGTTTGGTTGGGAATAGATGACTCTCAGCTGGAAGGCACCTGGATATGGAATGACGGTGAGAATATGGCAAGAATTCCGATTGATGGAGCTGTGTCCTAAATCCCAGGATGGATTTCGGCTAGTTAGCAGAATCTCGGAACAGTAACCATGATCCGCTGAGAAGCGTGCTGAAACCTGTTCCGAACTTTCAAAATTCTGGAAAACCTCGTTAACTCGATATCGGATACGTCGAAGTCATTTACATTCACCGTCCGAAAAGATAGCGACATGTATGCTTATAATAAGGATTATTCGAAATATGGATATTATGTAATTCCAAGGCATTTTCTGCCCCGTGAGCTATAATCTCAGAAGCGTGTTCGTTTACTTCGAAGGGCACTTTATTCCAATGACCAACAGATGACCTATCTCAAAACCTACACTGTAAATAGCTATATAGCCAGCTAATCGCCTTTGCAACTTCATTTTTCTATTCAGAAGAATTCTAAATATACTGTAGACTAATGCCCCCTTTCGCTAAGTCTCACCCTCTATGCTTACCTATCTTGTGCACACCTTGCACGACCTTCAGCCAAAAAACTTTTCTTTGTGGCAGCATAATCTCTCTCCCCCTCTCTGTGTGTATTTTGAGTAAAACGGGGGTGAATGTGCCATGGCGAACAAGAGGAAGTACAACGAGTTAAGTATTTCATAGAAGTTGGAAGTTATTTGTTAAGTGGACAAGAAAGTAAAATTGAAAGACGATATCGCAAAGGAACCCAGCACATTGGTTTCAATTCTATCCACTTATCCACTTAAATATCGTGGCACCATTGAATCCTGGCAGGTGGCTTTGTAACCAATAAAAGGAAGATAATACGTGACACAAAAACACGCGAATTTAGTACAGTATTACAAAATAATGGCCAAACCGGATAATTCGAACCCGATTATTTCGAAGTTGGTATTTTTTGGTACCTGTATTTATAAATAACGAGGTTTTTCTGTTGTTACAATGAGATCAATTTTCAGTTAAAAAAGTCAAACTTTTCACTTCGCGCCCCTCTACCTTCACCCCTTAGCCCCATCATTGGTTCATTTTCATCAGAAACTGACTGTAATTTCGTGTAAGTTGGCATTAGAAAGGAAACAAGAATATATCACTTTTGTAGTACAAGGTTACTTTTTGAAAATCATTGCTTTGATTAAAATACAATGGCACAAGACAAACAGCAAATCAATATACAAAATTCCATAAATTTTAAATGATTTTCTTTACTTCTTCTTTTTGTATTTAAATTGGAACCCTACGACTCCCTAATTCGGCGAAAAATGGTAATGTGAAGGCCAAAGTTCGCGCCCCTTTAGTTCCCTTCGCACCCCTTAGTTTCCACAATGCTGCTCTGAAGGACCGTTTTCTGTGGAAGGAAATTTTCTTTCTATGGGGTTAATGCATTTTAAACAACTTTGAGCCGACCAACCCTCACCCCGACCAATAACCGGAATTTCTTTATGCAAATGGAGCTGAAAATCTCGCAACATGACCACCACCAACACAACACCAATTTAGAGTGCTTACGGAGTCTCGTATACGAGGGTTGTCTGGTTATCTGTATTGATTTTTAATATGAGTTACACCAGAATCTTTATTAAATTGAATCTTTATTAAATTTCGGCGAGCACTGGTTAAAGTAAAAAAAAGGCTGAAGCGATTTTCAATAGCGAAATGATGCAGATAATGAACTTCTTTGGTAGATAGAACCATCCGAATCAGAACTGAACTCCAGCCTGTGAACGAGGAGACATTGTTCCCATGTCGTGGAACCAAAATGTTCATCGTGTAATTTCGGATTGGTGTTGTAACCAGTGTATTCCATATTTTTTCTTCACTACAGGGACACAATTGTCCGCTTCGGTGAAGACCATGTGGTACGGCGGAGAGCCAGGTGGTGGAGCCCCTGATGATTGCATCATTCTTTGGAAACCATATGGCGGCATGTGGGGCGACTACACCTGTCATTTTAAAGAGTGGATTCTTTGCGAAGTCCGCTTCCCCTAGACTCCTCATGTATAGTGAGAAATCCCTCGATGCATCGACTTTAGGATGACTGTGTAACGTAGTAAGCAACGATAACTTTTTGACATCCATCATATAGACATTGTACATTGTCGAGGAATTAACGTCTAATAAAAGTCCATGCGATCTTACTCTTTTCCGAAGCGCTTCCTTTTCTGAGGTGGGAAATCTTAGAAATAAGGAAGTTATTTGCCAGTAAATTTTTTTTGCCTTCGATTCGGCTAGCTCTTCGTCCAAACACAAGAAGATGGAAAAACATATGTGGGTAATAATGTATGGATATTTTTCTCATGCTATGCATTACTGATTTATTAATTTCTACGGCATATTTATTTGCCAGTAACGGTCTTGTTGGTTTCCATTCTTAAATGTCTCGGTTTCCATTCTTAAAACCGATCAAAATGTATGCTTGATTTTATATTTGGAGAACATGTTATAGAATGTAAATGAACTACTGTAAGTTCGGCCAATTATATTCATAACATATACATGCTACTGACTGGATGCCAGTCTAGTATCCAGTCCAGCTGAGGGGCTTCGTATTTTTTAAGCTGTGAAATAGTATGAGAGTGATCAGGCTCGATTAGCTCGTGGACGTCATCGAAAATCTTCGACCTATGTTGAAGTAGGTTTTGGAACGTCCGATTTTCACGGATGAACAGCTTCTGAGCTCCTGGGTGGGGGGTCGTTTGACCGCTAGCATCCAATTCTTCGTGACTTTTCTGAAGCACTACAGTTGAACGTTCAAGAAATGCATTCTTTTAGCACATCGCTGTTACTTGGTTGTAGCAGTGGGTCAGACATCTTGGAGTGGTCAATACAATGGTTTGCCTACACGAAGCGAGGTGACGGAAGAAAGGCCAACACATGAAATTAGTGCAAAATACCTTCTGAAGGTGCCCAATCTTTTACCTAAGGTACCACAGGGAAGACATGGAAAGAAAGGGAAGATGATTTCTTTAACACATTAAATTTCCAAAAAGGTAACCCTTATGGAACTTCCAAATAAAGGTGTATGTATAGGATTGTACAGTACTGAATTTAGCCATGTTTGGAAACAGTTTGGAATGTCCGTATCATGTTCTGCCCATGCTCAATAAATATGGAATTATTGATATATATGCTTCATATGCAGGCCACCATATATGGAGCTAGGTTTGCAATGTATATGACACTAATAAATTCTACGCAAAAAAATACAGTATTTGGAATATATTTGGATACTGTTCAGTTCATGCAATGTCCATGGATGGACGCGGATGCACGTTGAGGCCTTCCATGTGGCATGGCATCTAGCAGTTCAATCAATAAATATAAACTTATTATATACGCGAGATCGCGCTCATCCCGCCGCTGTATGTCTCCCGATTCCCCAAATGCTAATGCATGGTTATGCTGAAGCTTTCATTGTCAATTCGATAATTTTATATGTACAAACCGAAGGAAGGAAGTCGTTATAATTGCTGCATCTGTTGAGAGACGTAACCAAGCTCAAAGGGACTCCAGGCAATTCTTGCTCAATGCATAGTGGGAGCTGTGTTCCCCTTATGAGGTGAGTCACAAAAACGTTGAACAAAATTTCGATGTTGAGTGACTGCTTCTGAGCCTTTGCCTCAATCTTCCATTAATAATGAATATTGGGGCCATCTGAATTGCACACTAAGAACCGTATGAAGGACCTGTATATTATAATACAATTATATAATTACATATATGCAATATCTAATATATATAGACGATCGTGACTGACTGACTGACGCTAATTCTAACCATGTTCCAGAAAGGTTAGAAATCTGAAACTTGGTACACATGTACCTTTTGAGGTGCAGAGTTCAGGAAAAATCCGACTTTGGAGGTACATGCCCTGGGGCCTGTTTCATGGAATTTACAAGTTCTACAAGTTGCAAGTTACAAGTACTTGCAAGGGTCGTGCTCCTTGTTTAACTCTTCCTGCTGGTCCCGCTAGCCCTTCGTACAAATACAACACGACCCTTGTAATTACTAGTAAATTGTAACTTGTAGAACTTGTAAATTCCATGAAATAGGCCCCTGGGGGTACTCATTTTGGGGGGAGAAGTTTTTTAAAACATAAATCGTGACGGAGAAGGATGTCGTCGAGAGATGTTACAGTATGTCCCCGTTTCGGTGTTGTAGTGGTACCACATCTGACCGGTAATCGTGAGGCTCAGGTTCAATTCTCCATGCCCTTTTTTGGCTTCTCTTGCCTTCCATGTCCCGTTGCTTGAATAAAACGGAGTGACATGGAAAGCTGGAACGTGGCATGGACGTGCCTACCGACACAATGAGTTCAGGAAAAATGCAAAATTTTAGATCCATGCCCTGGGGGCATATTTTTGGGGGCCGATGTTTTCAATTATTTTTTTTTGTCCTGGTGTATTGAGCTAGTGTGGAAAGATGAAACTTGGTACATAATTACTTACCGCGATGCTGCATGCAGAAAAATTCAGACTTTGGAATGAAATACCCTGTGGGCATGAATTTAAAGGGAGATGTTTTCACAATTTTTTTGGATTAGTTAAACTGATAGACATGGAAAGATGGAACTTTGCATGAATGTGACTACCAAGATAAGGAGTTAAAGAAATATGTTAAGTCTTGATACATCCCATGGGGAAAATTTCTCGAGGGCGATATTAAAAAAAAAATTGTCGTGACGAATTGGACAGAAATGGAAAGGTGAAACATGGTACACGTATAAGTGACGTGATATTGAGTTGAGGGAGTATTCAGCTTTCATAGTGCATCCCCTCTGGGCACAGCTTTCGGGTGGGTCGGTTTTTCCAAACATGATTTTTCACCAACGAAAAGGGCAAACGTATAAGATTGAAACTTTGTGAGCATGTAGTTCACCAAGGTTTGATTTCGGTAAAAAATGGAACTTTTCGGTTAAAATGCCCGAGGGTACATATTTCGCAAATTTTCTTGAATTTTCCGATCCAACAAAACGGAGGGTGCTAGAAAGTTTAAACATGGCAAAGAAGTACCTGGTGAATACCTATGCAAAGGAAAAAAATATACTTTCATATTATATATAGACGATCGTGAGTAGCCGACTGACTGACATAAGTAGCTATTCACTTGCTGAGTTCAGGAAAAATTCCACTTTGGTTATACACGCCATGGGGCACACCTTTTCGGGGAACATATTTTTTAAATAGTTCTCTTTGCTTTAATCAAACGGAGACCCATGGAAAGCTGTAACATGGCAAGAGCGTGACTGGTGAATCACTGAGCTCAAATGTCAAGCGTCAAATTTCCAAAATATTTTTGGTGGGCATATTTCTTGGGGACGTAACGTTTTCAAAGAATTTTTAATATCCCAGCGAATCGGGCAGAAATAGAAAAATAGTAGCTGGCGCACGCATAACGGAGGTGATGTTGATTTAAGGAAAAATTCAACTTTTGCTGAGCGTCTCCAGAGAGCACAGATTTTGGGTGGGTTGCTTTTCCAAACATATTTTTTACCTCCAGCAAAAAGGGGAAAAGTATAAGGCTGCAACTGGGTGGCATGGTGTTCCCTGAGTCTATATTTCAGAAGAAAAAAATTTTTGGTTAAAACCCATCAGGACACTTTTTTTAAGTCCCATTTTCGACAATTATTTTTCAATCCAACGAAACAGAAACAGAAAAGTTAAAATTCCCTCAGAAGTACCTGTTTGATGGCTGAGTACAGGAAACATCCTACTTTTGAAATATTCAACCTTAGCGTAGATTATAGGAGGGAAGTATTTCAAAATGTATTCTCCACCCTTACAAAAAGGGACACATGAAAAGATTTCAAGTTTGGCACACTAGAAATAATAGAAGTAATGTTTTTGATAAAAAATGAAGACTTTCGTCCCCATATGGCACGTATTTCAATGGGACGTACTTTAAATACGTGTTTGTCATTTCGCACTGCTCTAAATGACCGTGTTTTTTGCAACGAGATTTCTTCCCAAAAAGTATATAATCTATTACTTTAATTCAAAGAGCCCGACAGTTGAGGTGGTGAGGTAACAGTGACTGCTACCTCAACGCGCGTGACCTACGAAGTTGTCATTTTAGGCCATAGGCTAGGCCATCCACCGTTCTTAGCGCCAGGTCCATTGGGCTATGCCTTTCTGAGCCATAGGCTGTGACCGATTTTATTTCCATAGGCTTCATGCAAAGCTGTGTCAATCAAAATGTGCTACTGACTGATTGCGGGTCACCTTCCATGCAATAGTTTTCTTTTGACGTTTTATGTAATGGCCTATTAATTTGAGTTCTCACGGTTGATGAAGTCAAAATAATCACGTACGATCTTTGTTCCATATGTCGCGCAAACGGGCCGCTCATACCATCAACATGGGGGCGATTTTTGCGAGGTGAGGTTGAACGTATTACACTTGGGAGTCATCTTTCATCTCTGAAAGGATGACTTCCTCGCCTGGATGAGATCTCCGCCCATATATTTATCGGGATCCCGACCCCTTTATCACTTGGAACCCCGTTGTCTTACTCCTCACGAGGAGAATGATTGCAGAGGGTGAAAACGGTGGGATTCCACCTGTATGACACAGGAGCTTGGTAATATTTTATGGTAATATGCCAGTTTTATTTGATAATAACATCCCGTTATTATCAAATGAAACTGGCAATAGGAGAAACTTTTCTGTCGACGACTGAGCCGAACTCCAGCCCGAGAATGAGGAAACATTGTTTCTGTCATTGGGACAAAAATTTACATCGAGCAATGTCGGATGGATAATGTGGCCGCTGGATTTTTCATGTTTTTTCCCTACAGGGACATCAGTGTCTGCTTCGTTGCAGACTTTCTGGTACGGCGGACAGCCCGATGGTGGTACCAGTGAAAATTGCCTTGTTATTTGGAAACCGTTTGGCGGCACGTGGGCCGACGTTCCTTGTTATTTCCAGGAATGGGTGCTCTGCGAAATCCGCTTGCCCTAAACACCCCGCGTATAGAGACGAATCCCTACTTGAAAGTTCGATGATGCAGCAATTGTACCGATGACTATGGAACCTATGCAACGACAATAATTATCTGGTATGCATTATTTAGGCGATGTACATAGTCCAAGGATTCACATCAGA